TTTGTTTTTCCCCCCCCCCCCCCCATATCAATTTAAGACTGCTGAAATAGAATTTTAAAATAGCATTGGCTAATAAATTATAAATTATGTAAAGTGGAAAGACTTGGTATGGACGGAGTCTAGGAATAAATTTTCATGAAATGTTTCTTATCCTTTTTCCTCTCCAGTTCATACAATATTTGGAATACTTATGTATTGTAAAATGAGCTATACCTCTTCAAGAGGTATTCTGTAAGATCAGATGTTTTTATTATAGTTAAATATAATACTGCCAGAGAAGGAATACACCCCCTTATCAGTCCCTTAGTGCCTCTTTCTGTGTTTGTGGCATGGTGGGAATAAATACCCATGCTGAAAACTTTGTACTTTGTAATAACAGTCCGAAGTGTAGAACTGACTTTTTTACTGTTGAAATAAAATTAATTTATGAGCAACTTTCTATTAGCAGTTCAGTTTTTTTTTTTTTTAAATTGTATTTGGTCTAAGACTACCAGAAACCTATGTTCCTTATTTACTTATTCCATGGCTTTTTCAGCAATGTCTGAGCACATAGGAAGTGTTTATTATATTTCTGGTCAGTTATCAGAAGAGCTGTTTTATTGTTTATTATCAAAGTAAAGAAAAAAGACAATTGCTTTGTAAATAAGGTATAATAAATTCAGTAGTTGGGTATTAGTACACAAGAGACTCAGACTTAGTTTTTTGGGGGGTGTGGGTGGGCAGAAGATGTCATAGGTAAGAAGGAAGGTATATCATTATTTCTTGAGTTTTTTCCATGTTCATCTGTACCATGTTTCTCAAAGAGATAGGCTGTAGTGCTTTCAGTATGCTGGTGGGCTTGAGATCGAGCACAAGAGAAAGCTCAACCAATTTACCTATGAGTGTTCTTCAGCTATGAGGGCAAATACAAGTCACTTTTACCTTATCTTCTGCAGCCATGGCCCTGCATGTGTAGTCATGTGCATTTTCCCATCCTTTTGACTTACCAGCTGGACTCAGAACAGGCAGCCTTGCTCTGCATGATTCAGATATGCACAAGTTCCAGATACTATGCTTTACTTAAATAACTACAGTTCCAATTTAAGTTACCAGAGTATACTAACTGTGAATAATTGCGTCAAGTTCAAACTTTGCTGGTAGCTCTTCAGCCCACAAATCACTGTGTAAATAACGGATATGCACTGTATTAGGTAGAATAATGCCCCTCCCCCCAACTCTCCACATCTTAATCCCTGAAACCTGTGAACTGTTACATTACATGGCAAAAGGGATTTCGCTGATGTAATTAAGTCAGAGATCTTGAGATGGGGATATTATCCTGGATTATGAGGGTGATTCCAATGTAGTCACATGGATCTTCATAAAAGGAAAGCAGATAGAAACGGAGATGTGACAACAGAAACAGCATAAGGGATTTGAAGATGCTACCCTGCCGACTTTAAAAATGGAAGAAGGGGCCATGCGATAAGGATGCAGGTGGCCTCTAAAATCTGCCTGTGTGTGGTTACTGCACATTTGTTATTCAAATTACAGAAGACGAAGTGTGTAGCTGTGTTGACTCCTTGTCTTCTAGTGATGAATCAGTGTGACGTTTTACAAAAATAGATAATCAAAAGTGGAAATTGGCTAATAAAGATGAAAGTGCACCAGAGAAATGAAAAATGACAACACCGGAAGTGAAATTCAAATGGAACATATGAAGCATTTGGATCCCCTTAGCCAGCCAGCCGCCAAAAAACAAACACACCAAATTGAACATAAATGGAATTATAGAAGAACTAGCTGACTTTGGGAGTGCTGACATGGCTGCTGTTTGAGATACTCTAGACATGCACCCCGAAAAACTTAGTGAAGGCAAAATTGTTAACATAAATGAGGAAAATGGTTGTGACAAAAAGAATAAAGATGTTCCAGAGGAAGTGGTACCAGCAAAAAACTTTATTTACTAATCTATAAATTACTATAATTCAAGTCAATATCGCAATAGGATTTTTTTTTGTATTTAAGATAGCCTTAAAACTCATCTAGAGAAAAAAATATCAATACCTATCAAACTTGAAAAAGATCACAGATATCTATCAGCTATTAGGACATATTATAAAGATATAACGGTTTCATAAGAGAACAAATAGACAAATTACTAAAACAGATGAAAGGATTTAGAAAACAGTTATATGGGAAATGATTAGTGATGAAAAGATGGGTTGTTCAAAAATAGGGGTATAGTGATAACCATTTGTAAAAATATTAAGTCAGACCCCTATCTTAGGGGAGTTGAGGGCTACAGCCCCACTCCCCTGACACCTACACCCAGCCCAGCAATGACCAAGCCACTGCAGGAAGCCCCTGGTCTCCCCTGCAGGAATGATGGGGTGCCACAGGCCTCAGCCCTGCCCCCCAACTCCCAACATATTTCTTTCCCCCTTCTCTCCCCCTCCCCCTCAACTGCTCCACAGCATCTTAGAATGTAAAGAAAATAAACTTAAAAAAAAAAGATCCCTAAAAAGTTCACAGAAAACTCCAGATGTATTAAAAGCCTAACTATAAAAAAAAAATTATGAAAGAAACAAGAATATGTTTTTGATTTTATAGAACTGAAAGTTTTAACATAAAGTTCAGAAATGATAAATGTTAAAGATTATAAAATTTACATTAGAAAGAAAAATCCTCAGTATGAAATAAGGTTACATCAGTAAAGTTAAATCATGAAAGACACTGAACAGGGCACTAGAGCAAATCCAAAAGGGAATCCATACCTCAGGGAAGGCTGAGGTAGCAAGTGAGGACCACAAGGCCCTGCCCAAAACGAGAGAGCAAACCACACTTTCACCAATTGTCCTTCAGCACATAACAGTGCAAGGTGCTCAAGGGTCAAAGCACACTAGCCATTACTATAGAGGGAATCACAGAGCACCCAGAGGGAAAACAGGGACTAGCACACTCTTCCCTTGCCATGAGGTCACATAATCCTTCCTCTCAACCCAGAAGCCAATCTTGCAAGGAGGAAAAGGAAGAGAATATCTGCACAATCGTTAGGAAGACTCAAAAGCAAGGAACAATCCTTATAGAAAAGAAGCTATGTTAATTTCTAGGGTTAGAACAAAAATGAGTAATAGACAAATGATCTGTAGTAGAGTCTTTTGATGTTTGCTGACAAGTTTTAAGCCTCACTCCTCTCACTTCCCCTTCTGCCCACATCTGGGTAAGCTGAGAAGAAGGCCTGGAGACAGCCTTTGATGCCAGTGGGGATTTCAAACGATGCAAGCCCCTTCCTGCAAACCCTGGTCCACCTGCTGACCACAATAAAAACCCCAAGCTGGTCTCTTCCTTGTTCTCTCAAGCTGCCCTGTTCTCTTTAGAAGGCCTTACTATGTGAGTAATAAGCCTTTTCATATATGCATGGAGGGTGGTTGTAGTGTCCCAAGTCTCAACATCCAAAACCAAATTTTGCATGGGAAAGGGGGTTCCAGCCTTCTGTATAGGGTGGCCACAATATAACTATTTAGAAAAAAAAGTCAAAAATTATGAGCAGAGAAATTCCAGAAAAGGAAATAACAGTGTCTAGTCAAATGTAAAAATATGTTCAATTTCACTAGTAATCAGAGAAATTCCAAATAGGTGAAGATAAAAGGAAACAGTAATTCTTAATACGCTGGTGGAAGAATAGTTTAATTGGTAACATCTGTATAAAGGCTTAAATGAGCATGCACTTTCATTCATAATTTTACTTATCTTCGCTAGAGAAACACATATGCAAAACTCATGTGCAAATGTTCACTGCAGTCTTGTTTGTAATATAAGAAGATTGGAAAATAAATATTTACAAGTTGAAGAATGGCAGATTATGGTTTATTGACACCATGGAATAATATAAGTGAGTTAAAAAGAATGAATTATTAAGTACTGGCATGGAATGAGATCTAAGACATAAGTAGGACATGAATAAGAAAGTTGCAGCATAGAAAAATGTGTGGAAGGAACACAGCAAACTAATAACTGGTTACTTTAAATAGGTGACCAAGGGAAACATTCACTTTATCTTGTCTAAATTTATTATATGACTATTACACATATGCATTCACGTATTATTTGTGAAATTAAAACACATTTTAAAAAAGAAGACTGTAAATAATGGTTGGATCCCCAAACCAGCTCACAAAACCATTCTTTAAGCCATAAAGCATCTGTCCATTTGCTATAAGGCAGAAAACAATGTCACTGAAGTGCAAGTAATTCAACAAAATTCAAAATTTTTTATTTTTATAATTTTGAAATAATTTCAAACCTAAGTAAAAGTTTCAAGAATAGTACAGAAAATTCCAGTCAAGTGGGAAATCAAGTTTTAATTAAGTTTTGTTAATTACTCCAATTATGTCATTTATAGCAAAAGGGTCCCATCCAAGATCAAGTGTTACACCAAGTTATCTTGCCTCTCTAGTCTCCTTAAATCTGGAACATCCGTCTTGACTTTCATGATATTGGAAATTTTGAATTGAGGGCAGTCATTTTATAGAATGTTACTCAGTTTGGTTTTGTCCACTCTTTCCTTGTGATTAGACCCAGACTGTGCATTTTGGCGGGAATATCGCAGAAGTGATGCTGTGTTTTCCCCTCAGGCAGCACGACGTTGATTTGTCCCTTTACTGGTGGTGGTAACTTCGATCAGTTAAGATGGTGTCTGCCTGGTTTCTCTAGTGTAAAATTATATTTTTCTTAATCACTAACAAATATTTCTTGTGAAGATACTTTGGGGCTATGTAAATATCCTGTTCCTCCATAACACACTACCCTACACATTGCAGCATCCACTGATATTTGTTGCTCAAATTGTT